TCTAAAAGTCTTAAAATAATATAATAAATCTAGTTTTGATATTCTACTATTATTGGATATTTTATTTAGTAGTTTTAAATTTTGATTATGAATGCTTCTAACTAATTTTAGTGATACTTATGTTAAATTTTATTTACTTTTAACATGATTTAGAAGATGTGATTAAATTATTAGTGCATTAAGAAAAAAAAAAACTAATTTTAGTCTTTAAGAATTATTTATATTGTGCTAGAAATTTGAAGTCATCTTTTATTGTTCTTGGTGCCTTTAGTGATGTAATCAAGAAGAATTTTCAGAGTTTTTCAATTTTTACAAATGTAAAGGAATATAAAAACTTATTTATAATTTATACATTTTATTATGTTTTTACTAATTTGGATGTAAATGTGTTTTATAGTTATGTTTTCTATTTAATGTTAAAATATTTTTATATTATCTCATATATTTAATAATGATAAAAACCGATCAATCCGACTAAATCACACCGATCTAATTTAAGTTGGATTGGTTTGGTTAACATATAATAGTGGGTTAAATTGATTTAAAAATTTTATTAACTGATTAAATTGAATTGATTTAAAAAATATTAAAATCCAAACCAAACCACACTGCGAACACCCCTAACTAATAGTGAGCCAATTAGCCAACAAAGGATTTGCAAAGGTGGAAAAGAGATACAATTAAGATGCATAAGATGCTTGTGTGCATGTGTGTATATATAAATATATGTAGCCGCATTCATAATCTGATAGCAGTATCAAGTTATCTAAATGAAGATAAAATCGAGTTTAAAAATTCTCCCACACAATACAAACTAGAAAAATTGAAGTCTTTGTGATAAGACGAAGTCACAAGTGAATGCACTATACAACCTATGAGGAATTGAAATAACATTTTAGGTGCCAAGAAAAATTCAACTTGACACCATTGAAATCCTGCTTAATTAGAAGTGCACCATACAACCCACAAAGAAGAAAGCGTCATCAATATATATACATATATATAGTAGCTTGTATAAAAGATGTATCTTTTTGAAGGGAAAGCTAATACATCAAACAAGTAAAGTTGATGGCATCAGAGAATCCACTTACCTTCTGAAACATCATCCTAGTCGAACAACTTATGCAAAGCATAAGACCAGTCTTCTTCAGCGTCATCATCACCACTCTACAATCATAATTAGCACATTTTGAATGAGAAGGCTAGTTAAAGCATATAACTACAAATAATCTATTCAGGTTACCACAACCTTTCCCTTATTTAATTTGATCGTGTCTTTTAACGGGATAATTAAGGAGATGGGAAGAAAGCATAGAACAAAAGAAATAGAGGATACCTTTTTTGTGAACAACTGTTGTATTGTGGGGTTAAGGCCACTTTCCCACCAAATTCCTTCATCTGTTGAATTTTCTGTCAATTTCACTTTCTGCAATTTTGGTGTACTTACTTCTCTCTCAGAGAAAGTTTGCATATTTGGACACTTCATTACAGTTACATCTTCCAAAGATGGAAATTCAAAGTTGTAATTTCCTGAGCAGAAGCTTTCTAGTCTTGGAAGAACTTTAAGTTGCAAAGACTCAAGATTGGTGAAAACAATGCCATCCTTTACATCATCACCATGCAATATCTCTTTCATGCTCTCATTCCTCTGCACTATTAGTTTTTCTAGACTGGGGAAGGTAGCTTGGAAATTAACATATGATTTGAAAAATTACAAACCAAGGAGTATAAGAAAGATAGATGATCTAAATCCTCTGCCCCTTTTTTTTTTTTTTTCTTGGTTAGGTAGCTTGGAAATTAACATATGATTTGAAAAATTACAAACCAAGGAGTATGAGAAAGGTAGATGATCTAAATCCTCTGCCCTTTTTTTTGTTTTTTACAGCCAAATAAAAAAAAATATTAAGAGCACAAGAGGTACTCCAACCCAATATTCCACAAACAACTCCCACAAACACACAAAAAACATTTGAAAGACTCAAAGATAAAGATATTAAATACAATTAATTGATGAAGTTCAAGACCAAACTATTATCTGTAGACTGAAAAATAAGTTTAGGCAAGAAAGAGCTTACATAAAAGCTGCAATGCATTAGCACATGCACATTGTTTTTTGTCCATTATTTAGAGCTCATACCTTACTGATCAAGAATAGAGGGCATTGATTCTGGTTTTCGAGTTGGTTCTCTCTGCATTTTCTCTGATAACTCAGAAGTTCTGAAGCAAGTATCTGCATTTGATTACATCCAAATACCACCAATTCTTTCAATGATGACCGTTTTGTAAAATAAATTCCAGGGCATATGCTCTTGAGACTGGGTAGCCCCTTAAGTAGCAAGTGTGTTACTTTTGGAAACACAAAATTAGGGGTTGCTCCAAATGAAGTTGATTGAGCAATTTTCAAAGCTTGTGTTTCACTAGCATTCAACCCCTGAGGTTCAAATATTTTTTCTAGTGAAACACAATTTTCTATCTTCAGTTTGTCTAGGTTTTGAAGTCTTCCAAGCATAGTAACTGAAAAAATATTGGACAGTTTTTCACAGGATTTCATCGAAAGCTAATCTAGCTCATGGAAGCTCTGTGCATCAAGTTGGTTGTCCCATATCAAGTTCAAGCTCTACATATCTTTGAGTACAAGGTGCTCCAATCTAGGGAATCCCACCTAATAATGAAATATAATATGAAATTAGAAGGAAATATTTTAAGACATGAAAAATGAAAATTAAAGGGAAAAAGAGCAAAAAATTTTACCTTTGCATCAAAGAGAGTTAATGTAAAAGCACTTTCTACTATTTTACTTTCTGTCATGTGACACATTTCCCCAACATTAAAACTAGAAATGAACATCTCCAACAGAGGGCATTTGATTATATGAAGGAATGTTAGGAAGGGGAAACTCACAGTAATTTCCAGAGTATAACCTTATGAGTTTGGGAAGGCCTTCAAGAGTTTGGGTTTCAAGCTTAGCTAGCAACAAACTTTCTTCCTCTGCTAATCCTTCATGTACTATTACCTCTTTCATCATCACACAATCACAAATCTTAAGTGATTTGAGTTGCACAAGACTTTTAATCATTGAGGATGCAAACAGATATTTCAAATTGCCACATCCATCCAGAATCAAACATTTTACACTATGAACAACTAAAGACATTGTTAAAAGTTGTTTTGGAATATTTGTCCCATGTTCATCAAGGAAAGCGTTAATTCCAAAAAGCTAGAAAACTCAACCAAAAATGCAGTTCTAGCTTCATGAACAAATTTGTATTCGTTAACAGAAAGCAATAAAACAATGAATCACAATGATTCCAAAGCAATGGCATGAAATTAACCTCAAATAACTAATATGCATACATGTCGAAGTTTCCAAGACCACCTTACACACAGCTCTTACTTGCATCACTTAAAGAAAATCTTAACCATTTGTCTCTTTTAAATGAAAAAGACGATTTTCTTTAAAAAATAGGATAAAAAGTTAAGTGATATGTGTAAATTGTAAGTGAATCTAAATATATATGTATTGCAAATAGTACATATTAAACCTAACTTCAATAAAAAATTAGAGTCCCAACCTTAAACAACTCATTTCATTTAATTAAAACTCAATTAAAAATTCAAAAATTCACCATATTAAATGTTATAAACCGATATGCACTAATAAGATAGATTTTTGACTTTTTATATTCAGAATGTAATCAATTGCCAATGGGTTTTAATTAAATGAAACACATTATTTAAATTGGGACTCTATGCACTATCTTTCTTTTTTTTTTTCTCTTTTTTTATCTTGGATTGTACAATTGGAAGCAGCCCTCTCTTATCCCTTAACCTAACCCCATTTGCACGCCATACGACTCAAACTTAGGAGTGCTTTTACGAGAAGAAGATTATCACTGAACTATTTAGGTTATTAGCTACTCTTTGTACGATTGTAATATGTATATATATGTATGTAAATACACATAATTGTAACAGAACTAGGTCTCAAGTCACGTTTTGCATCATTCATATGTATGACACTTTCTCTTAATTATTAAAATATAATAGTATTAATAAAAAATTATAATTTTAAATTAATCTTTTATACCATATGTAATTTATTGGGTAAAGATAGTACAACGTATAAGAAATAATTTATGTAAGTTAGAAAAATTATATTTCCAAATGAATTTGTTATAATTATTATCCATCTTAATCATGCTAAGACCAATAAGGTGTCATTTTTGCTTGGGCTACAGCGTTCTATTTTCTGCAAAAGAAGAACTATCCTAGGATAGGACTTGCCTTTGGTCGATGCATCGATGATCTAATAATTAGAATCCATTGGATAATTTAGGTTTTGTTTAGTATGGTGTAAGGATAGGTCCGAGGTCCTTAACCTCGGACGTACTGTAAGGATAGGTCCAAGGTCTTTAACCTCGGACGTACTACTACAATTCTTTAATAGCCAAAGTAAAGTTAAATCCAATATTTCCCGGTCAAATGGCTACATGATAAATACAGTGGACATGCCCACACCTGATTTGTCACACACAATTTCACAATCTTGAAATTACCGCTTCAGGGACACATCACACTCCGATTATCCTGTTAAGCAAGCCACATGAACATCTCACGAAGGCCTATAAATACCCCCCAGGGGCCACCTCAAAAAGGTAATTGAAACCAACCCAAAGCTCCTTTTTCCATTACCATAGAGGTAGATCTGATTATTACTGACTTAAGCATCAGAGTGTTTACCCTGAGGACCCACCTCGGGGCTTTGCAGGTTCATCCGAAGTGAAGACGTAGACTAAAGAAGAATCTCTAGTTTGGTGCAATTACATTGGCGTCGTCTGTGGGAATCAAACTAAAAGCTCTTTTGTTGCTTCCTCATCATGGTCAACACTCGATCTGTTCGAGCTAGAAATCAGGCTCAACCTCTTGGACAAGGTCAAGGTCATCTCCCCAACAACCTTCCACCTCACCTTCCACCTCAGATCCCAAATCTATTCCCTCTTGTTGAACATGCAGAAGGAGGAGATGAAAACTAACCTCACAATTTAGCCCACAACTCAACTTCCACTGCTAATCACGGAGATGTAGTTACAGCTCAGCTTGCTGCTATGCAACAGCAGTTCAGTGTTTTTCAATTAGTTTTGGCTCAGCTCCTAGCTCCAAATAATCCTGGCAATCCCTTCATCAACATACTCAACCCTACCCAACAACCCCATGTTCCACAGCAAAACCCTCAACCAATTCAGCATGCTCCTTTTCTTAGTGAGTCTCAAGGTTAGTCTCACGTAGCGCCAGCTCAGCCACCTTTACCTGATGATGTCACACGACATCTGGACAGCTTAGAAAAACTAGTAGCCGAGCAACGAGGTGCCCCACCTCCACACCATAACACTGATTACATACCCCATCCTTTGAACACTAATATTACATTGAAACCTTATCCTATTGGTTTTAAAATACCTCAACTCGAGACATATGATGGAATGAAGGATCCAGATGATCACCTCCATGCTTTCTACTCTTATATGCAAGCTCAGAACACCTCTGACGCGTTAATGTGCAAAATCTTTCCCTCCACTCTCCGTGGTAATGCTCGGACCTGGTATTATAGTTTGCCCCAAAGATCTATCAGCTCCTGTACAGAAATGGCAGCTGCTTTTGCCACAAAGTTTTCCAATAGAAGGTTGATTCAGAAAACCACTTCTGAACTGATGCGAGTTAAACAGAGGGACGGAGAATCTCTGAAGAATTACATGAGCAGGTTCAATGATGCAGTTCTTGAAGTCAGCTCATTCAACCAAGCCGTGGGAATTGCGACTGTAATTCAAGGGCTCCAACACGAGAGATTCAGAGACAGCTTCATTAAGCATCTTGCTGCCACTTTTAATGAGGTCAATAACAGATCCTTGAAATTCATAACTGCTGAAGAATATGCTTTATCCTAGAAACCAATTCTTCCCAAGAATCAAAACCCAAACTAGAGAAATGAGGGTCAGAGCAGGAAGCGGATAAAGACTGTACAGAACAAAGGTCCGATGTCGGCCTCTACAACGAGATTCGAAAAGCCAAACTCACTACCCCCCTAGCAAAATACCAGTAAAGCACCAGTTACATGGACTCTTTTCAATCTACCGAGGTCTCAAATATTCATGCAAAGCAAGAATAAGATGGATTTGAGGCGACCAGGGTCAATGAGAAGTTCTCCTACTACACGTGATCATACTTAGATATTGTGATTTTCATCAAGATCATGGTCATACAACAAAGCAGTGTAACAGTTTGAGGTCCGAGTTAGAAAGTCTAACTCAGAAGAGAATGCTGAATGAATACATCTAGAGAGCAGAGCACCCGAAGTTTGTTAGAGAATAAGGGCCACAACCACAGGGATCTCGTAATGCAGGTAACAGATAGGGTGTGGGATATCAACAAGCCCCACCTCCACTCCCACCACCAGCCAAAATTATACACATGATTACGGGAGGTTTGGAAGCAGGGGGTTTAAGCTCTAAACGACGAAAACTATATGTCAAGGAGGTGAAGCACCAAAACCGAGCTTAGAAACGTAAGTTTGATGACGCTGATTGGAAGAATCAACCTATCACTTTCACATCTATTGATTTTGATATAGTTGTCACACCTCACAATGATCCTCTGGTCACTTCCGTCATGATTAACAACTGTGAGGTACAACGTGTCTTTGTTGACATAAGGAGTGCACCAGACATTATGTACTTTCACTATTTTGAGAGTCTCGGGCTGGATCCGGCTTTGTTGCAGAGGTACGATGGTCCCGTATATGGATTCAATAACCAACCTATTCAGGTAGAAGGAGTCTTTACTCTTAACGTTGCTTTTGGGAGTGACCGAACTTACGTTACCCCTTCAATTTGGTTTCTAGTTGTCAAAATGGCATCCTCTTTCAATGTTGTTATCGAACGACCCACTTTAACCGAGATCCGAGCTGTGGTCTCTCAATCTCACCTCTGCATGAAGTTCCCAACTCCTATGGGGATAGCAACACTACAAGGTAACCAGGAGGTGGCTAGACATTGCTATATTACCTTGGTTACAAGGCCTCAAAAGGGCAAAGATCAGACACCAGAAACCATTCCCCAACAAGTTCATGACAATTAGCAAGTGATGGGAGTTGAGATAGTAGACAACCGACCTGAAGATGAAACTCGAGTTACCCCAGTTGAGAATATAGAGGAAGTGCAAATGGATGACAGAGATCAAAGCAAAAAGACACAAATTGGAACTCGATTGAACCCAAAGGAAAGAACAAACCTAATAGCTTTCCTCCAAGCTAACAAAGATGTCTTCGCTTGGACCTCAGCCGACATGCCGGGGATTCCAACCTCGGTATCTCAACACAAGCTCAGCACTAATCCATTAAAGAAACCAATAGCCTAAAAACGACGTCTCTTTAGGGGGGAAAGGCTTCAGGTTATAAAAGAAGAAGTAGAAAAACTCCTGCAAGCTGGTTTCGTCAGAATAGTTGATTACTGTGAATGGGTGGCTAACCTGGTGTTGGTCAAGAAGGCGAATGGTAAATGGTGAATGTGCGTCGATTATACAAACCTCAACCAAGCTTGCCCCAAAGACTGTTATCCGATGCCAAACATTGAAAAACTGGTTGAAATGGCTTCTGAAAATGAGAGATTAAGTCTCTTGGATGCATATTCTGGTTACCACCAAGTGCCGATGGCTCCGAAAGATGAAGAGAAAACCTTGTTCTATGCAGGTGATGAAAGTTACTGTTATGTCATGATGCCTTTTGGCTTAAAGAACGTAGGTGCCACTTACTAGAAAATGGTAACCATCATCTTCCGAGCTCAAATCGGCAAGAATCTAGAGGTTTACGTCGATGATATTGTAGAAAAGAGCCTGAAAGCGGAAGATCATCTAGCTGAACTTGAAGAAATATTCAACAATATCAGAAAGAACAGAATGCGGTTAAACTCAGCCAAATGCATCTTCGGTGTGGAGTTTGGGAAATTTCTAGGCTTCATGGTTTCCCGAAGAGGGATTTAGGTTAACCTAGAAAAGATCAAAGCAATCGCTGAGATGGAACCGCCGAAGTTGGTGAAAGATATACAAAGATTAACTGGAAGGGTGACAACTCTTCATAGATTCATATCGAAGTTAGCAGATAAGTGCCTATCATCCTTCAAGATCATGAGGTTAGCAGTCCAAAAGGATGAATCTGGCAAACAGAAGAAGTTTGAATGGAACCAAAGATGCCAAGCTGCATTCGATGAGCTGAAGTCTTATCTTAGCTCACCACCTCTACTGACTAAGGTTATAGATGGAGAAATTCTCTATTTGTACCTCGGCATTTCAGACAAAGCAATTAGTTCAGTTTTGGTGAAAAAAGAAGGCAAACAACACAAACTAATTTATTATATCAACAGTGTGGTGCATGAAGCAAAACTGAGGTACCCTATTGCTAAGAAAGCAGCATTAGCAATTGTCACTTCGGCCAGAAAGCTAAGGCCATATTTCCAATCACATCCAATCATTATCCTCACAGACCAACCTCTTCGACAGATCCTTCAAAAGCCAAAGTGCTCCGGAAGGTTAATTAAGTGGGCAGTAGAACTGGGACAATTCGAGATAACATTTCAATAGAGGTTTGCGATCCAAGCCCAAGCACTGGTAGATTTCATCATGGAATGCACCCCATGTCACCCAAACCCTAACCCCGAGCCGAGCGACTGGACCTTATATGTTGATGGAGCATCTAATAACAAAGGATCAAGAGTTGGTGCTTTCTTAATTGGCCCAGATGAATATCAAAGTGAGCATGCTTTGAAATTTAACTTTGATGCAACTAATAACATGGCTGAGTATGAAGCTCTGCTACTTGGTTTACAACTAGCATTGGAGCTGAAAGTCATGGCAATACAAGTTTACAGTGACTCGCAGCTTGTGGTTAATTAAGTCAACTCAGTATGCGAATTTGTTGATCCTATCATGATAAAATATGTAGCCCTGGTGGCTGAGCTGAAATGCAAGTTCCAGAAGTTTTGTTTGAGCAAAATTCCAAGAAGTGAGAATGAACAGGCAGATTCGCTTTCCAAGTTTGCCTCTAATAGCTCCTTAAGCTCCAGATCAGTTTTCGTTGAAGTTCTAGATGAACCAAGCTTCATAAAGCCAAGAATGATGGAGATCAGCATAGACCCGGATACACCGAGCTGGACAAATCCAATTGTCTCCTTTTTACAAGACAGGTCAATGCTTGAAGACAAGTAAGAGGCAATGAGGTTGAGGAAGAAAGCGTCTTGATATACACTTGTTGATGGGGTCCTTTATAATAGATCTTTCTCACTCCCTCTTCTACGATGCTTGAATCATTATGAAGCCGAGTACGCACTTCGGGAGGTGCACGAAGGTGTATGTGGAAGCCACATTGGTGCTAGAACCTTGGCTCACAAAGTCCTTAGGCAAGGATATTACTAACCGAATATGTATACATATGCTACTCACTTTGTTCAAAGATGCCCGAAGTGCCAATTCTTCGCACATTTGACTCACCAACCAACAAAAGAACTAACCAACTTGGTAGCACCGTGGCCATTTGCTCAGTGGGGACTTGATCTTTTGGGCCCATTCATAAAAGGGGTTAGAGGTGTAACCCATCTGATTGTTGGAGTTGATTATTTTACGAAATGGGTTGAAGCTCGGCTATTATCCAGTCTTACTTCCAGAAAGGTTGAAGACTTTGTTTTTGGCTCAATTATCTATAGATATGGGATCCCGAACCAAATTATGACTGACAATGGTACTCAGTTTAACTGCTCCTCCTTTCGAGATTTTTGCTCTAGTTACGAGATCAAACTACAATTCACATCGGTTTATCATCCGAAGTCCAATGGTATAGTAGAATCTGTTAATAAAGCTATCCTAGAAAGAATAAAGCCGAGGTTGGAGCAACACAAGGCCAGGTGGGCAGACGAGCTCAACAATGTCCTATGGGTATACAAAACTAAGAGCTGAACTGCCACAGGTGAAACACCCTACCACCTAGCCTTTGGTACCGAAGCAGTAATTCCTATTGAAATAGGAGTCCTAAACTTCCGGGTCACCCATTTCGATGAAGGACAAAATGGACAACTACTTCAAGAGAACCTTGATCTACTTGCCGAAGTCAGAAAGGAAGCACAACTTCGAACCCTAGTATACAAGCAGAAATTAGCCAACTTCTACAACAAACGAGTCTGCTCTTGAACATTCAAAGTAGAAGACCTTGTTCTCAAAAAGGCTGCCTAACAGGGTTTGAAACTCATTTTGGCAAACTACCCCCAAATTGGGAAGGCCCTTACACAGTGGCTGAAGTGCCACATCATAGCGCTTATATCCTCCAAGACGCTGACAGAAAGAGAGTTCCTAGAATCTAGAATATCAATAACTTGAAGAAATTATACCCTTAATAATCTTATTTCAAGTGATCTATGTCTTATTCTTCTTTATAATTATTACTTCTTCATTTTTTAGATTCATTTCATCTCTTATTCTATATATCCGAGGTCAATCTATTTGGAATTTATTCCTTGGACTTCACTTTTATTAATGAATTTCACTTCGCATACGAAATGATTTACTTTTTTTCAGTTCATCTCTAAAATGATTTACTTCTTCTTAGTTCAGATTCAAAGTAATTTACTTCATATAACAAATAAAGTACAAAGCAAATATTATACATAAATTCAACAACAAAATTTTTTATTAAACTCAAATACTAAAAGATACAAACTGTTTAAATTATCAATTGTTCCAATGTTAGTAAAAAAGAAAGATAAAAAAATAAAAACCCCTAATTGTTTTACTGGGGGTGGTGGCTGAGGTGGCTGCTACTCTGATGGAAGAGGTGGCCACTCCACTAGCTGAGGTGGCTGCTCTTCGTCAGAAGGAATTGAATGGACCTCCACCGGATGAGGTGGCTGGTTTTCCTCAACTCCAACACCTTCTACCTCTGCTTCCTCTTCCTCCACTGCTACAAACTCAAAGTCGAAATGTGGAGGAAAAACAGTACATCCCTCTTCATCGTGATCCCACCTCAATTTAATCTGAGGTCAAAAGTCTACTGACATACTCTCACCATTTTCCTCCACCCCTTCCTCTTGTTCGCCGAAGGTGATCTTCGTAATATCCACTTTGGGACACTCAGCTTTCGCCTTCCTTCTGCAATTAGTGAAGGCAAGGATTGCAATTGGCAGCCGGTAGAGGTTGACAATATTGTCAAACAAGCTGGAGTTGACGAAGTTGCTGATATGCTCCTCCATCCCGTTGTGTACCAATAGCTGAACATTCTTCTTCAGCTCAACCACAGCTTCTTTCATCGCTTTTATCTCTTTCTCTTGAGCCTCACACTCACTTTCATAGATCTTTCTCTTTTTCTCTTCAAAGACGAGCTTCGTACTCAGAGAATCCTTCTCTTGCTCAAGCTGCTTTACTGTTGGTACCACCTCATCCAACACCTCTTGCATGTCTTTTTTTTTCTTCTCCAGCTCCTCCTTCTCCTTTTGCAACTGCTCACACTGCCTTTGCAAGAAAGAGCAATCTTTCACACTCTCCATAAATTCCTGGGCTGGGGCATTCACCCAACTCGCACTTTGTAATTCAAGAAAAAGTTAAAAAAAAACAAAAACAAAAACAAAAACAACAACACACCAACAATTACACATAAACTAACTTAATATACCTCCAGAGCGTGCTTCACCACAGTTGCCCCACAATACTTCAACACCTCCTCTTTAGCTTGATGCTTGTCCACTTTGGGGAAGGTTGTGTTAATAAACCTTTTTACCCCGTCACGTTCTTCACATCAAAGAGGTTGCTCTGAAAGGACAAAGGGGGAACAAGGCCTTTCCCTTTACCAGGGGGCCCTTACCTCAGCCCCCTCAACCTCAGACTCCCTGAGTTAAGGATTGAGCTCAACAGGAGGAGGCCGAGGTACGAACTGGAGAACCTTGTTCCCCCCAACCTCTTACTCCACCACTCTTCTCTTTTTCTGTAGTGCCCCCAACTCCTCACTACCTTTCCTTCTCAACTCCAACCTAAGCCCCACCTCCTCCACCAAAATTTATACGTTACCCGATCTCGGTCTTAAACGATTAATGTAGAAGTCCACAAAGGATGCAACAATTCAGACGCAAGAAGAACACAGTAGAGTTTTAGCAGCAATTGAGTAGAAAATGTAACAAAAGTAAAACTCTTTTTACAAAATATGGCTATATATACCACAAAGCAAAAATATATCTCACGGTTGTGATTAATTTAATCTGACGGTCACAATTCACACTGTTTTGAATTCAAAGGTTAAACCCTAATAGGACCCTCTCGAATTCGACGGTTTGTTTTCCATTGCATCTATTTAACTGTAGCAGTTACTTTTTTTAACCCGTATTTATTGTACGCGTCTTTCAACAGACAACTATCACATCACATACTACCCTACGTCAGACTTTTTAAACAAGCCCACTTAAGCTTAACTCAACACTTCTGTTCACTTTCACAATAATATTTTCCAATTTTACAAGGAGTTCACCTCGGCTTCAGTCACTATGACTCTGGTCATCACTTTTTACTTCGGCTCCGGCCACTATGACTCCGGTCATCACTTTTTACTATGGCTCCGACCGCTATGACTCCGGTCATCACTTTTTACTTCGGCTCTGGCCACTATGACTCCGGTCATCACTTTTTACTATGGCTCCGACCACTATGACTCCGGTCATCACTTTTTACTTCGACTCCGGCTACAATGACTCCAGTCATTACTTTTTACTATGGTTCCGACCACAATGACTCTGGTCATTACATTTTACTATAGCTCTGGCTACAATGACTTCAGTCATTACTTTTTATTACGACCTCGATCGCAATGCCTTTAGTCATTACTCTAGCCATTGTAATCCCGTGTCACATTTTATTTTGGGAATACCCACAATGACCCTGTGTCACATTTTATTTTGGGAATACCCACAATGACCCCGTGTCACATATTCCACTATTAGTTACAGCCATACAAGAATTTGAGTTACCAATTTTTACTTTATTTTAACTTCCATAACTCATCTCTAATATTTTTTTCATTCCTCTTTTCACCTATTTATGCATTACTGCCACTATCTCTAACAACATCATTCACAAGTGAATGACTTCGAGGGGGGACTAGTGTAAAGATAGGTCTGAGGTCCTTAACCTCGGACATACTGTAAGGATAGGTCCGAGGTCCTTAACCTCGGACGTACTGCTATAATTCTTTAGTAGCCAAAGTAAAGTTAAATCCAACATTTCTCGGTCAAATGGCTACATGATAAATATAGTGGACATGCCCACACCTGATTTGTCACACACAATTTCTCAGTCCCGAAATTACAGCCTGAGGGGACACGTCACACTCCGATTATCCTGTTAAGTAAGCCACGTGAACATCTCACGAAGGCCTATAAATACCCCCCAGGGGCCACCTCAAAAAAGTAATTGAAACCAACCTAAAGCTCCTTTTTCATTACTATAAAGGTAGATCCGATTATTGTTAACTTAAGCATCGGAGTGTCTACCCCGAGGACCCACCTCGAGGCTTTGCAGATTCATCCGAAGTAAAGACGCAGACTGAAGAAGGATCTCTGGTTTGGTGCAATTACATATGGTCATGATATTTAGTTTTTAATTTTAGTTTTAATAAAATTTATAACTACTAAAAACTAATAATTTGTCATGTCATAGATGGAATATTAGCATTTACTTATTAGTTTTAGTCATGTCATAAATGAATACTACATAGATGTGTTTGGTTAACCATAAGAATATTTATACAGATAGTAGAAGTGAACTTGAATGTGAAATTTGCAGAACAAAAGCTTGCAAGTCTTGTTAAGCACTTGAGTTTCAAAACTTTTCATTTGCTAAAAACAATCACATCTTCTAAATATAATCCATCTCCTTCACCTCCAACTATTTCTGTCAGAGAGTGGCAATTTTCTACAGTGATACTTTGGAGTTGCACCAAACTTTGGGCTGTTGCAAATGAAAATAAGTTTCTTAACCCTTGACTTCTTTCTACCGACAAAGTGGTATGATTTTGGAAAGATGGCGTAGATTCTAATAAGCTAATCAAATTATCACATCCCAGCACTTTAAGAGATTCAACATTTTGAGCAAGTAGGTCTGATGCTGAGCTTTGACTCCATATATACTTTAGATTAGGAAGCGTATCCAGCTTCAACTTTCTAATACGGAAATGCCATCTTCCATCTTTCGCCTGACAATCAATGGATGCTATAGAACGGAACAACTCCTTGAAATGAGAACAACCTATAAAAAGCTTTTCTAAATTGAAGAATCTTTCAATGAAGAAGAATGGAAAAGCCTTTGATTCACTGTGGTAGCAGAGAACACGAAGACCTTTAATGTTGGAGAAGAGGTCTTCTGGAAATTGGCGAGACCATATCATTGCAATGTCACTTGTTAATGATAGTTTCTCCAATCTAGGAATGACCTGAAAGCCAATGTAAGAAACAAAATATTGTACCTTTTGTTAAGGATGTTTAAAATTCTGTAAGATGGTTTGGAAATAAAAGGAAAGGCGTGCAGTTTTTGTTGTTTGTTAGGAATGTAAATGGGTTAGGTACCCTTGTACCCAAGGAAATAAAATTTTTGGCTTACCAAAAATAAAACACCTCTTGTTAAGGATATTGAAAAAGATATTAGGAGATATGCATTAGTAAAAGTTAATTCTAAAAATTAGATAAAATCAAGTACTTTGTTAATGATAAATGAAAGAGAGCTACAATGGTTGAAAGAGAAAAGATCTGAGATCCCCTACCCTAGTTATATACTTGAGTATTTAGAGAATCATAGTGTATTACAATAGAGTTCATATATATAGAATAATGCCTTCTAATTCAACTGAAATAGTTTTCCTTCCTTTATCGGATTGAAACATTTGGTAGTTGCATCAGTGGAGGTTTTTGTTGGAAATGATGCCTTAAATTGCTCAAAGCAAATATGGAAAATTCTAATTGAGTCTTGCACTTAAAGTCATAGTGAGATTTTGTCTTCTAATTTGATTCCAACTTGATTAGGAACCTTAAGACCCGTATGACAATATATGATAATTGACAATATATGATAATTCCTATTAGTACTTGAATTTGTACCCTAGTGGAAATCTAAGAACCTTACTTCGAATATATATTTGTGATATAAGCAAGCTTACTTGTGTGAGTGGTTATAAGTATAACCACCCCTATGGGGGTGATTAAGGCTTTTCTTGACCAGGCTTTGCATAAACCTTTTTCTACACATCTTATTTAAAAATGTAAATTTATTATTCTTATTTAATTTAATTAATTTTAATTAATATTTTTTTATACTTTTAGAATAGTAAAAGGGAAAAAAACTATAACACCAACATAACACTGGCACTAACAAAGTCTAAAGAGTTTTTGAGTTGGGTGCTGAGCGACAAGATAGAGAAATGATAGTGCGATTGTTTCAAAAAAAATAGTTTTCAAAAAATATTTTTTTATATTTTTTTAAGGAAAATGTTTGAGAGATAACTTGTTTTTATTTAACTTTTCTTTTCATTTTATTTGAACACTTAATATTGTATGTATCCATTCATTTATAACCCATTTGGTATAGCAGTTTAGGGTAATATTTAGTAGTTTTGTCCAAACCGTTATAAGGTAAATGTTTGGTAAATTTGTTTATTACGAAACCACTACAAACTAAATATTTGGTAAAAACTTTTATTTAACAGTTTGGGGTTAGCAGATATTGATTAGGGTCTAAGCCACCCGTGAATTAAATTAAAATTTTTTAATTTTATTAACAATTTTATTCATTTTAGCTTTTGAAATTATTTTCCACAGTTTTTAATTAATACTTATATAATTAATTTCAATTTCATTTTTTCTTTTTAATAACATTAAATAAATATTATATTTTTATTTTTTACATTAAC